GGCGTCGCCTCGCCACGATTGGCTGCCCGGCCCGCCCGTCAGCGTCGCAGCAGACGCCCACGCCGGAATCCGGTGCGGGAAGGGCGGGCTCTTTTCCCAGGTGGCTCCGCGGCCCAGGCCCCGCCCCGGAAGCACTTGTTCCCGAGTCCGCGGGCGCCAGCGGCTCGCAAGTCTGGGCGTCGCGGGGCCCACGCGAGGGTGACCCCGCCCTCTCGGCCGGCGCGAGTGGGCTCCCAGGTGCCCCTGCGGGGCTCGGCAGCGTTGGGAACGGCCCGAGCTCCTCGAGGTGTGGCGGGCGCCGTGGGGAGGGTGTGAACAGCGCCTGCAGACGGCGGGGCGTCGAGGGGTTCGCTCGCGCTCTTGTGAACGTCTCTGGACGCCCCTGTTGCTCAGGCCCCGGGGTTTGCTCACGCGGGCGGCGCTCTTCGCGGCCGTGCAGGGGCAGGGGCGGCACCAGCTGTCTGCTGCCGTGCAGCACCCCAGACTTCCACCAGGACCGGTGGAGGCCCCGTGTGAGGGTGGTGCGAATGCCCGGGTGAGGGGGGCAGGCTCAGACGCTGTGCGCTGCCAGTGACTGCCCAACTCAGGCCGGCTCAAACCCGGAGGCCGCCGCTAGTCGTCACCCAAGTCCAGCTGCGGGGCTGGCTCTGGCAGGACTTGATGTCACAGCCTCAAACTGCCAGCAAGACCCAGTCTCTCCTCTCTTGTCTTCCTTGGGCAACGCGGTTACAGTCCACCCACCTCCTCTGCCCCCAGGCTTTCAGCTCCAGAACGTCCCTTCTTGTGGGCTAGAGCTGCACACTGTCCAGGAAAGAAGGAATTTTCTCTTCTCTGGAAACCCCCCTCACACACACACACACACGCTCGTATGCGCTGCCTGTGCTGCTTGCCCATCCCCTAAACCATGAGTGGCCAAGACAGTGGGAAATGCTGGTGCCTCCATTGAGGCAAGGCCAGGCCTGGCACCCAAGCTCGCGCCTGCACAGAGGGAAACCTGGGCTGGGGAAAGGTGGGTGGGTGCTGGGAGCCATCCACTGTGGTTTGCCATATCCCTGTCTTCCTCCATTAAAATTAAAAAGCAGAAAAAGGCAGCTGCGTCAGGGCGAGGCAGCATCCACAGAATGCAGTCCCACGTCCTCCCCCGTGCTGTCTGTTCAATAGCTATTTATTGACGACTGACGTGCATTGATCACCTTGGACACACAGCCAGATACTGGACCCGTGCAGTAAGAAAGCCAGTGAACAGTACTCAGTCCTGGCCTCCAAATGCTTCCAGTGTAGTGGCCGTCACTGGGTACAGTGACAAGGGCCAGGACCTGGGGTCTCTTAGAAGGCCATGAAGTGATGGAAGTAGGAATGACACTGGCCCAAAGTGAGGACAGAGAAGTGTGGACAGACTGAAGAGATCTCTAGGAGGCAGACAGGACTTGATGGGTTCTGTATGGGGTTGGAGGTGGGTGTTGACTCGAAGGCAACTGCAGACAAAGGATGAAGGATAGTGTCACCATAGGACGTAGTGTGGCTGCATTTGGAGGGAGACAGGTGCTTGGTTTGGGTGGCCTGAAGCGGGGTGGCCATCCAAGATCAGCAGGACATGGTCTGGGGCCTTGGGGGCACACTGTCTACACAAGCGTGGGACCCGCCAGACAGCGACGTGGCGGGAACCCAGTAAGTTCTCCTAGGGCAGAGTGTGAGAAAGAGGGAGGAAGGAGAGGGAGTATGGTCCTTGCTGGAGTTTGGTTCCAGGAGACAGCATTAGTGAGAGCTTTTGGGACATGGTGGGATCGACTGCAGACCCAGCAACTGGAAGTAGGAAGCAAAGACCAGAGTGAGGCACGAAGGAGGGAGGCAGACTCCACAGCCGGAGAGGCCCAAGACAGGATAGGCTTTGAGTGGAACCAGGTCTCCGAGAGGGCAAGGGGAGGTTCTGGCCCTGAGGGGCTGGGGGGACAGCAGTGGTGGGCACATCTGCGTGGCGCAGGGTGGGTAGGGCCACTGTGAGGCAGTTCCCATTTTCCTGACTTAATGGAGTCAAGCATGGTGGTTGTTAAAAGACCTACCTAGGTGATCTGACAGTCCATCAGTTTGAGAGCCCCTCTTTGGAAAAGTTGACCAGGCCTGCAGGGACCAAGGTGAGGCTGGGACCAGGAATACCACCTGCCTGATACATGATGGGCTAGGGAGTGCAGGAGACAGGCTGGTGTTGAGTGGCTGAAAAGCCGAGCCACAAGGTCCCTGTTGGACATAAGGAAGAGACCAAGGAAGGGTGGAGGGTGAGGACAGCTCTGGGCAGGATGAGCAGAGGGTGGGGGGCACTTGGGGAGGATCAGGGAACTGGAAAGTTGGATGCGAGATGGGCCGCCCCATGCAGCCCTTGAGGGAAGCCAGAGTCAGAGTTCAGAGACCTGCTGCAAACCCTTCAATTTGCAGAAGGAAACCGCATGCTCAGTTGTATCCTACAACCAGGGACTCCTGGCCCCAGCAACCTTTCCCACCACCTATGCAGCCCTGATGACGGGCACACAGGTACCTCAGAGGCAGAGTACACACCAAGGTGTGTGTGCTTGACACCAGAAAACAGCTCGTCAAGCTGAACACCACGTGGGCTTTATTTGCATGATCTTTATGAGACAGTTCTGTGGATTTGTCCCACTAAGAGAAGGGCCTTTTCTCTCATGCCTCTTACTGAAATGTGAATAAACACAATTACAAATCAAACTTACAAACTTGTGACTAAATATTTTGCTCGTATCTTAGTTACTATGATCATCGGGGGAAAAAGCCTTTTCTTGGTCCACACGGCTTGAGCCTCAGTGATACTGCACCACTCTGGAAAATATGCCTTCGGGCTCCTTTCCATCCCCCAAGGCAGCAGCAAATCCTTCCTCTCGCCTCCTCTTTGCCAAAGCAGCCAAAGATTTAAAAGTCTTTGGTTCATAGATGGCTAGATCTGCAAGTACCTTCCTGTTCAGCTCCACCTGGCACTGGAATAAAAAGGATCAAGAGTCTGTAGTCAGCAACAGAAATGCATTTCAGCAAAATGCAGGAAGACCCTGTGCTGGCCGGGTTTCATGGAGGGCCTGTAGATAGTGTGGGGGAGGGGAGGTAGCAGGACAATCTTGTCTGGGTGACGTCCTCTTGTCTGGAGGACGTCCAGGCAGGATGCTGAAGGATAAATGTGGACAAGGATGAGGGAGGCACCAGTGGAAGCTGTGTGAAGCAGGAGATGGGAGAGGAGGCTGGAGTCCAGTCACAGAATCTTATTTGGGTCAATGGTCATCTCCCAGATGGAACTAGGACTGCTGATGTTGGGTGACCCTTCAGGTCAACTCGGAAGTTCCCACGAGAGCTAAGCCAAGGCATCTACAAGTAAGACTGTAGTTGACTTCAGAAAGCTAACAAACACTACCAATGTATCTGGAGAAGAAAAGAGAGATGGTCTCCATGCATTAAATGCAGCTATCAAGGACAGAGTGGACCCTACTCAACGACCTGCAACCTTTGTGCCTTGGGCAAAGTCCATTTCCTTTCTGAGCCCCAGTTCCTCATCAGTAAAATGGGAATGTCACAACATCCTAAGCTTAGCATGAGGGTCTTTATAAAGCAACAAAGAACCTGCTACAAGGCAGCAGAAAGCTGTCCACCTCTGTAACTTTATTTATTTATTTATTTATTATTATTTTTTTAATTTTTATTTTGTCAATATACAATGTAGTTAGTTATTGTGTCCCATCACCGAAACTCTGTAACTTTTTAAGAAAAAAATACAGGGCCGGCCTGTGGCGCACTCCGGAGAGTGCGGTGCTGATAACACCAAGGCCACGGGTTCAGATCCCATATAGGGATGGCCGGTTAGCTCACTGGGTGAGCGTAGTGCTGACAACACCAAGTCAAGGGTTAAGATCCCCTTACCGGTCATCTTTTAGGAAAAAAAAAAAAAAATACAAACGTACACAAAAGCAAGGGAATAGCAGGATCACCAGATTCAACAATTACCAAGATTTTGCAGCACTTGCTTAATCTGTCTCTTCCCTCCAAAACATTCCCCTCCTTTTTGATTGCATAAGTTTCAACTTCATCTGCTATAATATGAAAAATCATTCACTATTAAAACTTTTAAATCAAACTTTAAAGCTAAAGGGAAGTTTTTCTACCGTTTTTCCTTAATGGGGAAACTTCAGGGGTCACATCTCAGCATCACATGCTGTTTCCAGTTCTGCTCTGCTACCAGCAGGGCAAAGAGAAGCAAGTATGGTGAGCCCCGATCCTACCAGAACTCCACCCCAACAACAGAAAGCACTGTCAGGGCCGGCCCGTGGCTCACTCGGGAGAGTGTGGTGCTGATAACACCAAGGCCACGGGTGCGGATCCCGTATAGGGATGGCCGGTTGCTCACTGGGTGAGCGTGGTGCTGACAACACCAAGTTAAGGGTTAAGATCCCCTTACCGGTCATCTTTTTAAAAAAAAAAAAAAAAAAGAAAGCACTGTCAGGCTTGCCTGTGCTGCGTGGACCCCTGCCAGGTTGGATCATGCCTGCAGGGATGGTTTCTGCAGATGTTCAGTATGTCAACAGGGCCCACACCCTCAACCATACCTTAACTAAATTGGCAATGAATGCTGGGTACTTCAGGCCATGTTCCTGGGAGGCAGCTGTAATTCGATTAATCCAGAGCTGAAATAAGAAAACATTGAGATGCTTGAGAACAACTTCTAAATGTTATATCCACACCTTCCAGCAAAGGCTCTCACTGAACTAAAAAGTATATTTGTAAGAGTATTTGAAAAGTTAGTGTTTTCTACTCAGACAAGTGGGCTTGCGGTACCTGGTATCTGCAAGGAAAGGGTCGATGCTCTTCATCTTAATGCAAGTTTCATTTTCAAATGATAAACAAAGTCACATGCTGTAAAGTATTAAGTAAATGCATTTTTAGGGACCGAGAATACAAAAAGGAACAAGAGGTTCTTTGGCAGAGTTCGAGTCTAACTAAGGACCTACACCCACTGGGATGAGTGCTAACGGCAGCAGGGACAAGACACTCCTGGTAGATGCTTCAGGGAGGTGAAGAGTCTTGAAGGTAGAGCAGAGCTGATGAGTCTGGAGGGAGGAAGGGTCCCCATAGAGGACCTGGCTGGCAAGGAGTAGTGGGGTCTGTTCCAGGCACAGCAAACACCTGAACACCTGCACCTTAACACAGCAGCAGCAGGTGAGGCTAATAAGTCAGCGTGGAAAAAGCTGGAAAGATGCGTCAAAGTGATACTTGCTGGGACGTGGTGTGATGGAAGCATCTGAATGGATATGCTTTGAGGTTTCTGCAACATAACTGGTGTGCACCCCTGCGTTCTGGTCATTTAAACAAGGTGGGGTGTGTGTGTGGAGGGGCACTTTATTGTAAGCCGTTCTTTACTTTAAAACCATTACCATTCTGACCTTAAAACAGCATCCAAGCCCATTTTCGCCCTCTACTGCAGCAGTTCGCAAATTTGACCTGCATCAGATTTACTTGCAGATTTGGTAAAACACAGATTGCTGGGACCCACTTCCAGAGTTTCTGACTCAGCAGGTCTGGGGTAGGACCTGAGAATTTGTGCTTCTGACAAATTCCAGGTGAGGCTACTGCTGTCCAGGGACCCCGCTGTGAGAGCTTCTGCTACTGCACTTCCTACATACCGGACGCTGCTCACAGTACATGCACAGTCAGACTGACAGGGTCCTAGGAGGCAGGGCCACCTCTGTCCTGATCTGAGGAAACAAGAAACAAAAAGAGATTGAGATGCCCCAAAGCCACAGAGCAAGTACCGAATAGACCCACACACCTCCAGAGGCCACACCCTAAACCTGCTCAGGAACCTGAACAGAGACTTTATCATGCTGGGACCCTTAATCTAGGTTGATGACTCATTTCTAACTTGAGAGGGTCAGAATCAGCTCCTTACCAACCCATTTTATTCATTCCATCAATATTTACAAGGCACTGCGACCTACGGGTTACAGCACTCAACGGAACAGAAAAATCCTTACTGAAACCTGCATTCTAGCAAGAGGTGGGGGAGACCCGTGGCAAATAACCAACCAGGTAAAATGCACGTTAGTTTAGACGCTAAGTTAGTGAGGGTGGGGCGGGGAGGCGAGGTGTGACACCTGAGAAGGTGGCACTTGGACAGAGCGGAGAAGCAGGCCACGCAGACAGCAGCGGGAAGCCTCCCAGGCAGAGGAGACCGCCTGGTCAAGGGTCAGGCCTGGTGTCCGAAGGGTGGCTGGGACCAAGCTGGCCCCGGGGCGGGTGGGCGAGGGGGCCGCCCGGGTCGCGCAGCCCGTCTCTCCGCTCTGCCTTCCGCCACCTGCAGTCGTGAGCAGAAGGCAGACGGGAGCAGCGGAGTCTGCAGCGCCGGGTGGGGGACGGCGACGCAGGGCGGGGCTGCGGCAGACAGCACGCGCCGGCGTCGCCCGGCCACGCTCACCGTCCTCATGTCCCTCTTCTTCTGCCTCCGGGCCGCGGTGCCTTTCACGAAGGCCCTGGTCACGGCGCGGACAGCCAGCGTGTAGCAGCGGTTCCTCCTGCCCCGGAAGTGCCGCGCGTGCTTCAGCACCTCCTGGATCCGCCAGCAGCGGCCGGCCAGGCGGCTCCGCAGCCGGAGCGGCGCCCCGAGGAACACCATGACGCCGGCAGCCGCGTCCGCGGCCTCAGCACTGCGGAAGTGGAAGCGGCGCCCACGAGCGCTTCCGGGTCCGCGGCCGGTGAGGACTTCCGGGGCGCCGCTAGGCTGTGGGCCCGGCTCCCGCGGGGTGGGCGGCGGCAGGGCCTACGCGCGGGAGAGCTGCGGGGCCCACGACTGGGTCCCCGATCTGTCTGGAAGAAGCCCCCGCCCTCCGCCTCCGCGGCCGGGACCGAGCCCGGCCTTTCATTAGGAAGCAGTTTGTAGAGACATACTCTGTGCATTATTACAGGCTTTCTAGTAAGCAGGTGCTGAGATAAAGTTAGGAATACAGAGGTGTATTGGTTAGCCTGTTTAGGAGGAAGCAGCAAGATTGGGCAGGGAGAGCCTCAGATGGGACAACGTCTCGGCAACCCAATAATTCTGAAGCAGACTGCTTGTTAGAGGAGTCTTAGGTTGGGTGGAAATGGCCAGACCCTGCTCCCCCAGCTGTGCACAGTCTGTGGCTGATGCTGCCAGGAAAAGCATGCCCTTGGCTGAAACGCTGTGGTGGACAGGTGCTGTCTCAAATGAGGGCTGAGCAGCACCGCTCCACAGCCACTGCAGCTTGAGATGACATAAATACCTTGCTCCTTCTCTGACTTGTACTCGCTAATTTGAGCATCCACTGGTCGTTTTCTAACTCCATCATTCTTTCCATCTTTATTTGGCATTCTGCTTACTATTATGTTCCCTTTTTGGGGGGTGCAGCTTTAAATGGTGTTAGGAGAGTCCTCACTGAGGGGGTGAAGTCTGAGTGAAGAAAGAAGTGACCGTGCCAGGCAGTATCTGGTGGAAGAATACACCAGGCAGAGGAGCCAGCAGGTGCAAAGGCCCTGAGGCAGGAGCATGCCTGGGTGGTCAGGAACAGCAGAAACACCAACACAGTTGGAGTGGAGCAAGCAAGTGTCCCCTAGACAGGCCCCTGTATCTGAATGAGCAAGTAAGAGTGTGCAGACAGTAAGGAGGATTTGTAGGGCCTTGAAGGTTGTCATAAGTACTTTGATGTTCCGGTTGCCATGCTGCATAACAAATTACCCCAAAACTTAGTGCTTGAAACAACTGTGCAATGGTTTGAATGTGTCCCCCAAAGTTCACGTGTTGGAAACTTAAGCCTCAGTGCAACAGTGTTGAGAGGTGGGACCGTTAAGAAGTGATTAAGTCAGGAGGGATCTGCCCTCTCGAATGGATTAATGCCGTGTCAAGGGAGTGGGTTTGTTACAAAAGTGAGTTCAGCTTTGTGTTGCTCTCTCCCACTGTGTGATGCCCTCTCCCACTGTGTGATGCCTTCTGCCATGTTATGAAGCAGCAAGAAGGCCCTCACCAGAGGTGGCCCCTGGATCTTGAGCTGCTCAGCCTCCAGAACCAGGAGCCAAATAAGTTTCTGTTGAGTATAAATTACCCAGTCTGTGGTATTCTGTAATAGCAGCACAGATGGACTGAGGCAAACCATTTTATTTTGCTCACCATCTTGTGGGTCAGGAATTTGGGAAGGTGAGCAGTTCTGGCTCAGAGTCTCCTGCGGTTGCAGTCAATGGTGGATGGGGCTGGAACAGGGAGGAAGGAGAGCTGGGGGCACTTCTCACCATGTGGTCTCTTCATGGGCTTGTTTGGGCTTCCTTACAGCATGGCAGCTTCAGAAAGGCAGGCAGACTGCTGGTAGGGCGCCCAAGGTGTCAAGAGCAGGTCTTCCAGCCGGCCAGGCAACATAGAAACAGAAGCTGTATCGAGGGCCGGCCCGTGGCTCACTCGGGAGAGTGCGGTGCTGATAACACCAAGGCCCCAGGTTCAGATCCCATGTAGGGATGGCCGGTTGGCTCGCTGGCTGAGCGTGGTGCTGACAACACCAAGTCAAGGGTTAAGATCCCCTTACTGGTCATCTTTAAAAAAAAAAAAAGAAGCTGTATTGCCCTCCTGGCCCCACCTGGAAAGTCACATGGCATCACTTTGGCTGTACTCTGGTGGTCCAAATAGTCACAAAAGTCCACCCAGCATCAAAGGGAGGAGACACAGACTATCTATGGATGGCAGGGACTCAAGAACACATTGTAGAAGGCACAAGGGATGAGAGGTGTTGACGGGGCCAACACAATGTGCCACACTTGTGTTTTACTCTGAGTGAAAGGGAGCTGTTGGATCTCGAGCAGGGGAGGAACACCTCACTAATGAGATTGCTGGCCACTGTTTTGAGAAAGGGCTGCAGTGCAAGGGCTGAAGCAGGGAGAGCAGCTGGGCCATGGCTGGCCCTGCTATGGCAACATTCCAGGCAAGGGCAATGGTGGATTGGGCCATGGTGGATGCCATGGAGGAGGGAAAAGTGCTCAGGCTCTGGTGTGCTCCTGAGACAGAGCCCACAGTGTGCCAGCCCGCGGAACGTAGGTCCACCCTACTCTGAGGACTCCAAAGATCTCACAGCAGCCCTCACCGTTCCCTCTTCTCTCCAGCACCTGCTGTCTCTGTTGCAATAAAAGTTCCTATCACGCCGTTCGGCTCAGGCCCAGCCTCACCAGGAGTGATTGCTATTCTGCCTTCCCCTCTCCCTCACATCCAACCCATCAGCTCTGGTCACAGAATCTTCCCCACCTGCTGCTGCTCCTGCCTCCACTGCTGCCACTGTGGTCCAGGCCACACTGTCCCCCTCCCACCCCACTTCCCCAGGTCCAGTCTGTCCTGCCCTGGGGCACAGACTCCCAGTCAAACTCCCTAATGTCCAGAGCCATTAGAGCCCGGCTGCCTGCCTGTGTGGAGCCAAAGAGCCCGCCCAGCTATTGCCTCGAGGCCTCAGAACCTTGTTTGCTGTTATCTTCCGTCCCTCCCCGTCCTGTGCACTATGGGTGTAGGTAACTTTGCAACTTGCCATAGATACGGGAATTTTCCATTTACCAGAACAACCCGCCCTGCGGTTTTCTCAGTGCATCTATGTTCATCAAGGATATTGGCCTGTAGTTTTCTACACCAAGGCCACGGGTTCGGATCCTATATAGGGATGGCCGGTTTGCTCACTGGCTGAGCGTGGTGCTGACAACACCAAGCCAAGGGTTGAGATCCCCTTACCGGTCATCTTTTAAAAAAAAAAAAGAATACTGTCTTGTCTCCATTTCTCGCGTCTCTTGTCCCATCCAATTCCCACTCCCCCCTCCAGGGTCTGCATTGAATATCCCGCAGGTCGGGACACCTAAAGGCTTCTCGTTGCCCTGGAAGTGAGATCCAACTGCTTCCATAGTTCCTGGGACACAGAGGTGCTAATGTGGGACACCAACTCTTGCTTTCGAAAGATGAAATCTGTAAAGTTGTTCTTCCAAAAAAAAGCTATGCTTTTAAAAATTGAAACATAATTGACTATACACATTTGTGGGGTACAGAGTTGACTATCAACAGTTATGTACAATGTGTGATAATCAAATCAGGATAAGTAGTATATTCATCCTCAAAAAACATTATCATTGGGCCGGCCTGTGGCTCACTCGGGAGAGTGTGGTGCTGATAACACCAAGGCCACTGGTTTGGATCCCATATAGGGATGGCCGGTTTGCTCACCGGGTGAGCGTGGTGCTGACAACACCAAGTCAAGGGTTAAGATCCCCTTACTGGTCATCTTTTAAAAACAAACAAACAAACAAAAAAAAAATTATCATTCTTTGTGTCCGTTAGCCAGTTTCTTGCTAGCCCCCCAGCACCTTTCCCACTGCTAGCAACCACAGTTCTAAAAACTAAACTTTTAAATCAGATAATGACAGCAATGATTTCCTATGAGGATACAGAGGTGGGGCAGTCAGAGACAACTGTCCCCCTGCCTCTGTTATACGTGCGGAATTTTTAATTTATGGAGATGACTGAGTGAAGACATGAAGAAGGTAACGTGTTGAAAGAAGATTTTTACTGCTTACGTTTCCTGGGAAGTGGGGGCATGCCACACCACACAGGGCCGCACAGGGAAGCGCCAGGTTTAGGTCAGGAGGCAGCGGGAACAAGGGGAAGTCCGAGGCCAGAGCCTTTATTGGGGTTTCCATGGGAAAGCAGGGCCGGGTGGGGCCAGCAGCTTAGGACTGGCTGGTGTGAATAACTCCGGGTGGCCCTGGTGCACAGGGGCGGCCCCTAGCTGGCTGTACCTGGCCCTGCATGATTTGGGGCAGGGGAACTTTGGCTTGGTGTGGTGAGTTAGACAAGGAGGAGGACTGTGGATGGACAGAGAGCTGTAAACACCGTGGCTATCAGCATGGTCCCGGGACTGATGGGTTCCAAGTACACAGTGCAAAATCCAAGAACACAAAAGACCCCATGTGTGGAGAGTAGCTGAGGGACACCCCATGGTGGACAGAGGGGACACCATCAGGTTTTGGTTAAATCTGTTGCCACAACTCGTCTTTGCCAAAGTGTTCAGGAGGCCGGAGCTGCAGAGGCAACAGGCCCTCCGGAGCCAGGGGTCATCCCAGGTCCTGCCACAGGCCTGTGACTGGGGCTCAAGCCACTGCCTCTCTCCTCATCTTCCTTCTCTGGGAACCTCTCCACTCGTGACTGTCCAGGCAGGTGGCCTCAGCTCAAGAGAGGATCCTGGAAAACTCTGAGGCTGTGGAGCCCAGAGCCTTCTGTCCTGCTCTGGCCTTGGAGGCTCAGCCTACCCACCAGGTGCTCAGGGCCTGCAGGGCTGTGTGCCCCTAGCTCTCCTTCTGCTCCCCTGGAAGTGCAGGCAGCACTTGGAGCAGGCACCCCTCGGGCATCTGGGCCACCTCACCCCACTGCGTCCTCAGGGTGGGGCTGGCCCCTCGGCCCAGCAAAAGCTCTATGGTGAGGCCATGGCCATGCTCTGTGGCGAGGTGCAGGGGGGTCTTGTGGAGCCAGCCAACTGCATTGACCTGTGCACCCCTGTCCAGCAGGTGGATGGCCACCTCCACGTGGCCTCCCCGAGCAGCGTGGTGCAGGGGTGTGAAGCCCAGTGAGTCCTGGGCATCCACCTCGGCTCCCCAGGCTACCAGTAGCTGGACAGCAGGCAGGTGTCCACCGGCGGCAGCCCTGTGGAGCGCAGAGCGGCCGTGCCTGTCCCTGATGCTTGGGTCTGCCCCGTGGCCCAGTAGCACCTCGATGTCCTGGAAGAAGACAGCAGTGAGGGAGCATAGGTGGGTGAGGGGCTGGGGCCACCGAGACTTTGCCTGACCCAGACCTTTTGTGACCTTGGCCACCTAACAGCCTCTGTCTCAGTGCTGCTTCCCTGTTTGGTCAGTAAGCCAGAACTAAGGCACCCCTGCAGGGACTCTGCTTGGAGACTCCCCCTTGCTCCCCACCCCTCAGTGGTCCTCAGATCAAACTTAAGACTTTGTAGCCATTGCTGCCCCTACTCTGCTGCCCGGAGCTGGCTGGACTCAAGCACAGGCCTCGTGCTCTGTACGTGTTCCTTGCTGCCTGCTACCGGGATACAGGTCTCCCAGAAGGAGCGCCACCACGACCGCACTCGGGTCCTACGTGGCCCCCTCCTCACCACTTGCCCCCCTCCAGCCTCCCTCCACCTGCCCGGGAAGGGAGGGGGCCCACCCTGGTCGGTCCTGGCGAGTCCAGGCGCAGCTCCCTGCCGCCCTCTGGGGTTGGGGGTGGGTGCAGCCCTGGGGACCCCTTCCCTGCGGCCCCCTCCAGCGGCCTGTCACTGCCTGCGGAGGGTGGGACGTACCTGCCGGCGGCCCAGGCCGGCCGCCACGCCCAGCGCCCTGCACCCCACG